AATGCCCCTCGGGTGACGTACGAATGCTCGGACTAGATTAATCGGCGTCTCAGTTACAGCTCCAAGGCGAGCCCCTTTTCAAGTTCCAATTTTTTTCATAGGAAATAAAAGATACTACTACCTTAATATCGGGAACCTAGCTGTAAACCTTGAATTGCCTCTGAGTTACTGTTTATTCTGTTTTTCCGGGCATCTGACTAGCTTGCTAAGTATTGGGCAAGACACAAGGGCCAATTACAACGTAATTCATTTTGTTCGAGCACTTTACTTAATACATATATTTATATAAAAACGATCACCACAGCAATATTTACGATATCTTACTCCACTTATAAGCCTTATTTAGGCATAATGTTAGTTTAAACTTGTCTTCGCAACTTAGTCGGAGCGACACGGAGATCTTGTATAACTTGTCTAGTCCTGCGTCCTCTCATAGTATTCACGAATATATTTTTTAAAATTTATCTGACGCTTGACTTAGACAACAAAACTCTCCTTTGGATCCACCACAAAATTGAATAGCTAGAATTACATTTTGAGATTAATTATATCTCCTAAACGCCAACAGGTGTTATAAATTCGGAGGGCAATTAACGAATTTCTTTAAACTTATGAATATTATTACTAACGATGTGTTATTCGCAAAGAAACAGTATTCTTTTAAACGAACTTAAGTCTAATAATTACCCCAAAATGGAAATATAATTTGTCTTAAAACTTATTGGCGCGTAATGAGTTAGTCGCTCTTGGTGGCGACAAAAGAGATAACCTTTTCTAGCAGCATATTACTACATTAGTTTCATATATTTTATAAGAGACTATAGCTGTAAAGAGATATTTAGAGCTAGTTTGACATTCTTGCCCTTTCTTTTCAGGGACAAAGGATTCTTTATTTTTGCTTGCGGCATTAAAAAAATATTTGTATTAGTTTACCGTTTTATGATTAATATTCTTCCTTTTTCATACTACCGCCTTAATATTTTAGCCAGAAATTTGCTCGTCACACGAAGCCCAATCGCCTCACCAATCCCTCATACCTGGCCTAATCCCGGCTTATTACATTCTACCGGTCAGAATATGCTTTCTCCAGATCCTTCCGGGCACTTTTCCCATTCTCACCACTCTTCCTCTTCATCTTCCCGCAATCTTCCAAACGCTCCAGGTCTCTCTATCTCTTCTGCATCGCGACAACTTGGCTTGCCACTTCATCCTCTTTATTGTTCTCCGCTTGGTGCAGACGAGACTGATATTACCATCAGCCCTGTGCCAGGCTCAACAATCATATCAGGCTCTAGCTCTATTTCAGAATCCGGTTCACCACTATCGCTATCTGCTCGACCAATGCCAGACAATCGAACAGCTCCAGATGAGGCTGGCGAACGGTGAGCTGATTAGCTTAGCAATCAGTCAGTGCTCTGAGGTTTACCAATAAATTGCTTTTTTCTTTATTCCAACAAGCATTTGTATGCTTAACTGGTTCTAAAAGGTATCGTTGTATGGCTTTGATTCAAGCGATTTGCAAGGTCCTAATTACCGACCAGGGAATGGACTATAACCGAGATTAATCCAGATTTTTCAAACTGATTCGTTGTTATAACTTAAATAGTGGAGTTTAGCTTATTTTTATATCTCTATA